TTAGGTGTACGTGGCTGGCGCCTTAGCCGGTTGAGCTATAGGTGCCGAGCCGGAAAATAGTCTTAATGAACAGTGTGATTCCAGTAATAATATTAAAATTGTAGACATGAATTAAGGTGAGGTGAATCACAAAACTTTTATGAATTTCTTTTTCCTAATAGTTCTTATATTTACATGCATTCCTGAAACATGGGAACCTATTTTTTTCTTCTATCCTCTACCTACTTTCTCCCTGGGGCTCAGAAAGGGACCCTGGGGCTGATTCCTTCCTAGGACACCTTCAGACTGAGTGGTTCTCACCCTAGGGCTTGGGTGTCATATTCCCCAAGATTCGCCTGCCCTCACTAAACCTAATTTGAATGAATTTCTTAAACAGCACAGGCAGGCAGTAAGGTGTCACAGATTGTCCGTTAACTCTATCCACCAGCCCATGTATATGCTTTATTCAATGAGATAAAATTGGGCACGTGAAAGAAATGAATGTCTCCTTTCAATCTGTCTTTTCATCCAGTCTTTTCATTCTGCAAATTGTTTTCTCACATTCATTCTTTAAGATTTCTTTTAAATAGACATTTAGGCATAGAGAAAAAATAAGATCAGATTTCAAACAATGTTTCATTCATACTCTTAGCTCGTATCCCTGTTAGGAATCAAGAGTCAGAGTGGAATGTTTATATCCTTTATAATAGCTGTGGGAGGGAAAGGTCAGTATCTACATTTAACAGGTAAGGAAATGAGGTCTAGAGAAGAGAAATAACTTCCGTAGGTTTCCACAGGACATGCACGTTGGAGGTGGGGTCAGCGTTCCAGTCCACTTGCCTCCACAGCCTACCCCCTACCTCTTTTGCTGATATCTTTTTGAGAGCAAAGGAGTAAAACAACCTTAACTGATGCATGCTAATCAAACCTACAGTAATGGCACTGGGTGGAGTGCTTTTTCACATTATTCTCTTGATTTAAGGCAATGGCAGTGGCTCAAGCATTACTTAAAGGGTCTGTACTCAGGGTTGCCATGTTTGTGAGGCACCGGTGTGTATTTTTACACACCTTTATTTTTTTTATAATTATTTTTTATTAAATCATAACTTTGTACATTGAGGCATTTATGGGGTTCAGGGTACTGCTTCGATATACAATGTGAAATGTTTACATTGAACCAAGTAACACATCCATCACAATTATACTCATTTCTTAATAGTTTTGAAATGTACCATTGCATCATGCACATTATGTGAGGTCCCACCAAATACCCTCCCTCCTCCCATATCCCCTCTCCACTCCCTTCTCTCTCCTCTTCCCTTCTACTTTCTGGACTATAGTTATGTTTTGCCATTCATATGAGTATGTAGGTGGTTATATATTGATTTCATAGTAGTATCGAGTACATTAGATATTTTTTTTTCCATTCTTGGGATACTTTACTAAGAAGAATATGTTCTAGCTCCATCCAGATAAACATAAAAGATGTGAAGTCTCCATCTTTTTTTATGGCTGCATAGTATACACACCTTAACATTAAATAAGAGTACACAGTGTTATCAGGAAGTGGCACTTTTAATTTTTTTATTTTGAGGAAGGATGAGGTCATTTAAATAATTGCTGTATAGGGTTTGTCTGTGGTAGCAGAAGCTCCTTCCCTGTAAGGCACTTGCTGGAACAGTGTGTCTGCCCACACGCAGCACTCTATAGGGAAGTAATTATTTGTGGCATATATTGCCCTATAATGGGATTTACTGATGACGTGGTTAACTCTTGCTTGTCTGCTGGAAGGAAGGTGACTACCATCACCCACTGTGAATTGCAGTGCTGCGATCCTCAGCGATTAATGTTCTGCCTCAATACTCTTCACATAGACAGTTCCGGTAACATGTCATTTACAGTCTTGATTATCAGCTGCAGATGGGAAGTTATGCCATCTTGAGGCAGGCAAAATTGAGAGAGGACAGCTGAGCCAACCCAAAGATGTTCAGGTGTGTTGTCCTAGGTGAGAATTACTGGCCAGCACTTCACATTCAACTTCCTTCATTTACCACTTCCTGTCTGGGCCAGCCATTTACATTGTCTGAGCCTGTTTGAGAAGTTAGGGATAATAACTATATGCAGTTGATGTAAAGATTAGAAATGAAAGTACCCATGAGAGTGTCTGGTACAAGCAAAGTCCTGATAAGTGGTAATGATGAGGTCTAGACAGTGTAAAAATTGAGTCATACCACTTACTTTCAGCCTCAGTTTGTAATATGAGGATTACACATGTTCTCACTGTGACCTGTTTGGAACTAGGGTCTTTGCAGATAGGATGAGGACATAACTCCATTAGGATGAGGACATAACTCCATCAAGATGAGCCTCGAACCGATGACTGGTGCCTTTATATGAAGAGAAAAATTTAGAAACATAGACACGAGACATGAGGAAGAATGGGAGCAAAGATTGGGGTGATGGATCGACAAGCCGAGGATCCAGATTGCTGGCAGCCTCCAGTAGCTGAGATGGAGGCATGGAATAGAGTCTTCCTCAAAACCTTCAAACGGAACCAATCCTGCTGTCACTTCTGGCATCCAGAGTTCCGAAAGAATAAATTCCTATTATTTTAAACCACCTAGTTTGTGTTCATTTGTTACTACAGCTCTGGGAAACTAATACATCTACCATTTGCAGTTGTTATGAGGGTTAAATAGTGATTACATAACATGTAGGAAAGAATCATCACGGTTCTAGGCACACCGATGCCTTAACAAGTATTGAACCTTTAACCTTCAAGTATCAAAGACACAGAAGATGGACTCTGAAAGATAACATAAAAATCTGTCCCATCTGTAGATGTGGGGGTGCATACAGAGAGAGACCCCAAGCATAGCAGTAGTAGCTGGAAGCTCTAACCCTCTACTCTCTCAGTGCTCAGGCATTGGAGAAAGCTGCTTTCTTTCCACATATTGGGATCTCCTTGAATTTGGAAGGTGGTGGTTTGGGTGATGGTGGAGAGGGTGGGGTTACTTCACATGGAAAAGCAGATGGGTCCATCTTGATCCTCAGAGGTAACAGAATTTGAAGCTAATTTTCAGACAAATCGCCAGTGTTTCTTGATTGGTGAGTGGTAAGAAGACCCTTTCCTTTTCTTGCAGTGCTCACAAGGCTGGGGACTGATCAGCATGGGACAGGCAGGCCACCTGTTCTGCCCCAACCTGTCCTCACTGCTGGACTCACTTGGGGGCATTCTGTGTGTAGTTGGGGAGAGGTCCTAATGGTTCCTTTCTGTCTTGGTCACTGGAGGACCTCACAGGTGTGACAGACTGTTAGACAGCAGTATCAGGACACCACATGGGATAACTGCCTGTGAATGATGCTGTGAGCAGGTCACGTTGTAGGCCTTTGCTGTAGGTGTTTGGAGTGTACAGTATCAAGAGGCAGGGAGTCAGTAGAGCAGGACTGAACATCCAAGCCAATTCTGAGGCATCACTGGGACATCCATCAGAGGGAAAGAGGGAGGATTAGCTGTAGAGAGAGATCATGGCCAGGAATGAGAGTATCTGTCCAGGTACAGACTTGAGCTGCAGGCTGGAGAGTTGGTCAGTGCTGCTGTCAGCCTGGGGGTGGACTCTGTGATCAAGGCTCTCCGAGGGTAGGACCAGGACAGCAGATAAGGGAAATACACCCGGAAGTTAGAGGGCAGCATACGTCCTGAAGTTGAGGTCCCATTAAAACACTCCAGGAGTAATGGGTTCTGCTTGGGGTAGGTGCTCCAAGAAGGCCCTGGGGAAGCCACCCTCCAGGGTCTAAGGCAGACTCCTGGAAGAGGTGGAAGGGGAAGAGGGAGGACCAGCCCAAGGGC